CTGCGTTGTCCCGTATTCAGGATCTGGCAGAGAGGTGGACTGAAAATGGCCTTTTACTAGGATGAATCACCTGCCGGTAGTTTAACACAATTACCGGTGAACAAACGCGCATCGCGTTCGTCTTCCCCACCGGTGTCCGGTAATTGTGCTTTTTGCAACGACCTCATCGTCCGAACTCACCGGAGGAGAGCAAACAAGGAAACAGAAAGTAGGCGAGTCGCAAAAACACAAGCACGGGAAATAAACGATCAGTCGCCTGAGTTTCCAGCCTCACACGTAGTTAGGAGAAGCAAAAACAGATCCAATGTTTAAATCCCGTGCAGATCTACACACCGATTCTCTGGGGTTGGATCAAAGACCGAAGGTTGAAACACCTTGCAGCCCGTAATTGTTTGATTCCACGAATTCTAGATTGAAAATATGAATTACCTCCATGCCGCGTGCAGCCATTTAAGATAAGGCTTTTTTATCTGGCATAGATAATCTTCTGCATTGGCGTGACCTCTCGCAGCCTGTTTAGTTTGGCCAATGTGGTCTAACTCATGAAATGTCAATCGAAATCCTCAAATGCGTTTTCGCTTCTCAAAGAGTAATTAGGTAGGGTTGTGAAACTAATCAGTTTGCAGCATAATTCTATAATAATTCAGTTACCTCAGGCTGCCGGCTTTCGAACAAATTTTCTTCCGGCTGCATGCAGAAGCCACTCTCTGTAAAAAATCACCACTTAACTAGCATGCATTTTCCTCATTGACTTTCGATGCCCTTAAAAATGCAACTATATTTCATAGAAAACATGCATAAAATATTCATTCTCTCGTTTATTTGGTAAATGTTTGCGACTTATTCTAATTTTATACTCGAGGGATGGGTATAGTTCGGTTTTCAAAACTTTTACGAGTTCCGAATAAATTTGAACCAGACCTGTCGCTACACTTGCATTAAGGGTTCCCAAACTACAAGCCGTATATTTTCCGCGTACGGAAAACCATATATATGTATTAAAGGACGGCTATATGGGGTTCATAAAATTTATCAGTGGATATGAGTCATGTTATTAACTTTACAAGCCACATTGGTAAATGCAGAGCTGTGATGCTTTATGAACGGCCATTTCACGATATCAAGAATCTCACAATTAGAAACTTTGTAAAACCGAATTATACCCTTCCTTCGAGTATAACATTGAATAACATTGAATAATTGTATGCATGATTTCTATGAAATGTAATTGAATTTTTATGGGCATCGAAAGTCAATGAGGAAAATGCATGCTACTTACGTGGTCATTTTTTACAGAGTGTAGTTTCTGCATGCAGCCGGAAGGGAGTTTATTCGAAAGCCGGCATCCTGAAGTAACTGAATTATTAAAGAATTGTGCCGCTCGTTGATTAGTTTGACAACCCAACTTACTTAGTCTTTTCCTAACGAAGACGCATTTAGGAATTCCAGTAGACATTTCTTGACTTAGTTCACCTACTGTAGTTCATTCTTTGCAAGCGATGAAAAGCAATCCCTGTATTGGATTCACGGGGATGATCTACGTGGACATTCTTCGCAGTAAAGACGACTTTCGACGCATCTAACTCACAGGCTCTTCCCATAGTACTTCCTATTTGGTGGCTAGGAAAATCAGGGCGACATAAAAAGGGGATTGAGCTCAGTAGATAAGACGGTTCAGTTCAGATCTACGAGTGCAGGGTTTTAGCAGTACCCACCACGCGCCCTAGCCACACTCCAAGAAAAACTATTGACTACATCAAACACGCAGACGTTGCGTCCTGACAATCGATTCGGAGAAGAACAGAGTTATCTCTGCAGATGACAACTTCGAAGACAATACTTTAACGCACCAGATCTATTAAACTCTGAGCAGTCACGGCCGGACAAACAGTGGATAGCAGTACTTCTCTCTTCTCCTTTACAATGACAAGTCGGAGCATAAAATAACAGCAGATTGGCAGATGATCTAGCGCAATGGCCAACGCGACCTAAATCCTCCATTCGACAGGTGCGACGCGCCAGAGCACACTGTTGCGATATATTTTGGCTGTCCTTGCCAACACTGGAGGCCTTAAGCGCATTATTATGACATGAGCAATGTGCAGTGGGTAAGTGAGTGCCTTCAGGTATGCCTGCATGACAGGACTGGTTCACGAAATGCCCAGATTTGTGGGTACACTGTGGGCGGATTGGAGGGATAGGGACTACTTAGTACTCAATACGGCAAGAAAGGTGGACATGGTCTCTTCACTGCGGTGGCCACACCGGCTTTCTGAGTAATTAGAGACGCCAATTGTCAGATGGCACACTATTGTTGTTGGTACTGACTTTTAGGCCTTAAGATCTGAAAGCGTCTACTATACGAGGATCAGCAAATCATGGCCAACGCAGCCAGGTATGCGCTGGCTGACACCTGGTCCCCTGGTGGTTTAGACTCCCGCTGGGTATTTGGGTCATGAGTATTGCTGCCCAGTCATCCTCTCTGTTGTTGTTGTTGTCGTCGTTGTTATTGGTTATTGTCTTCATGGAGTTCTTACCCTCTGGGATGCGCAACTACGCGTGAGCGCAGGACAAACCGATCGGACAGTCGTTTGAATAGTAGTCTCGCGCTTATGCCTCCTGAAAATTATTCATCTACTCAGACGAAAGCCTTAGTTGCACCAAAGTTGAGCCAAAAGTCAGTCTTAGCGGCATGGGTTGTCCCCTGCGAGTCGTCAGTTTGGGCTTCTCTATTCTCGCTTGCAGTAGGCGATCGGAGCAGTCAACGCAACTGCACCTCTCATAACCACGCTGTGGCTGTTAAAAAAAAACTGCCCTTCCTGGTCCTTCCTAGACATCGCGCCGTCACTTTCCAGGGAAGACAAGCCTGGCGGTCGTTTCCGGTTCGTTCGTCATCATCAGCCAACTACACCCTAACCCCGGGCAATAGTTTGTCGTTGAACTTATTGCGCGTCTACCTGAGTCACGAATCATGGTCCTGTCGGCTGCTCTCAAGAATAGTTCAAGCCCATGGAAGTAACCGTAACTGAGCTAGCAGGATTTCGGTAGAGCACACGAGTATGCCTCTTTGTCCCCGATCTCTAGTTAACTGTCCTTATAGTTGGAGCATTTGATTTTTGGTTAAGGACCGAAGTCAGGCTTTGTCCTGATAATTCTGCAAACCCTGAGGCTAGCTAGTCATCCCTCGTGTTGTTCACTGCTGGAATTTTTGGCATGTCCTGATCTTCCGGTTAGCATTTTCTTAACCCGCGCATATACTTAGTCCTTGTCCTTGCAGTCTTTTGCTACCTTGTGAATTAGCATCCAGGAGACTAACAACTGCGTCACACTGTTTGTAACTCGCAGTATGGCCTGTGAGAATATCCTATCCTCAATTTCCATGTTGGTCGACAACTCCGTAACTGTCGGTTCCTGTGCACAATTGATTTTCTCCCAAGACCAACTGTCCTCTTAAAATAAATTTCAAAAACGCGGTATCAGTCTCCCAACCAGTACCGTCATAGATTTCAGTTTAACATGCCGCACCGGATATGTCCACTGCACTCAAAATTCCTCTCTCAAAACAACTAACCCAAATCGAAAATCTAGATTGAAATGTCTGCTTAACGATTTGTGATAGCCTGATTGCTGCAGTCGAGCTAGCAAGTGATCATTTTGCCGGCTCCTGTTTGCAGATCGGTTGGAATAGGAGCTCGACGCGATCAGTCAAGACTGGGGATGCGAAATGGTTTACACAGTGCTCAAGGTCCACGAATATGATCTTACGAGGCGTACTTGCATTTCGACTACCTTGCGTTAAGCCTACAACGGTTTGAAATCAAAGAACTGGATAAAAATCCCTACCGTGTTCTCCCTCATTCCATGTGATAGTCGTATGTAGAGCTAATCTTGTCTGATGCATTCGTTCGGGTGCTTTCGAAATTGAAAATAAATGATTCATTTGCTTCGACAGTCACATCGATGTTTAGAGGCTCCAAAAACAAATGGAGACTTATGCCTGTCTGTTAAAACATGCATTTTCAAAACCTAAAACACTGTACTTTCGTGCATTTTGATGTTAGCTTTCTACAAAATACAGGAGTAATGTTTACGGGCCTATCCAATTTGCAGAAAGAAATGTGGGTTGTCTTCTTCGTTGTGGAGGATAGTTCGTTCCCCCTACAGGTGGCAGTAAGGCGTCAAAAACCGTTCTTTAATGCGATTATGACAGTCGGTAATCTGTTCTGTCATCTGAAATAGGCACTTCGCAGATGTTAAAAGATCCCATCATCTTCCATGAGACTAACACAATGCGCCTGGTGCTGTATGTTTGAACATGTCAGATGACATAGGATGAAGCCTTCTGTCAGTTGTTGTCAGCGTTATGAATTTTTCTTGAAGTAACCGCGAAATAAGGCAATCTGTAAAGTCTGACGCCCACGAAAACATCTGTTTTTGTGTCTCGACGAACATACGCTCAAAAAGCCGGAAAGCCTTTTGTTTTTGAAACATGTTCTCCACTATCCCACGCAACCTTACGGGAAGTCTACATACGTACAAGCACGTGCAGGCACACAAAGTCATCAATCCGCCTACCTCCCCAGTCAGCCTCGGTCGCCAACGCCGGAAGGTGCTCGCGTTTCTGATTGGTCGTTTTAGGACCAATCGTTGTGTGGCGAATAAACGACCAATCATACTTCGCCGCGCATGCCGGTGAACAAGTCACTCGCCGTGAGGTCAATAGTATCAGCTGCCGGTGTCGCGTGTGCGACGACCTTACAACAAGCTGTTTCCGTTTCCTCCCACATTCTTCATCGCCATCACCTTCACCACCGGCGGCGGCGGCATTCTGAGACCTGTCCATCCGGCCTTTTCACCATCAACATGTGTGCGGCAGAACTAGAAGCTGTCTATCGCTAGCACTGGGCGACTTGTGTGGAGGCGGAGAAGAGTCCTTGCAAATTATTTATGCCCATCAGCAGAGAGAATGTTAAGCAGACAGCGACTTTAGTTAAAATGCGATGCGCCGAACAAATAGCAAGTCGCTGGAGCCTCAGGAAGAAGTAGAAAGGACTGGCCCATCAACGTGGTCTTCTGAAGATAGAATGCTGGTGGTTGCACGTTTGCACGATCTAGAGGTGGTAAACCAGCGGCTCGCAGCAGAACGAAACCAACTACAACGTCAGTTGAATCATGTTCTTCATCGTCTCGCCTCAGATCGATTTTCAGAGGGAGTGTCTAGCCTGCAGGAACTAACACATGCCGTCCGCTTCCTCCTCGGACCACGCATCTCAGATCCCTCCGGAGGTGACGAAGCCACTGCCGCGGAGACATCAACTGTGCCAGCACCTCTGGCTTCAGGCGAGTCCATCAATCTCCTTTCCAGTTTTATGGAGTCAAATGGCCGCTTTAGTGCTGTCGAATATTCAAGCCTATCGGATGCATTCGAGGAACTTAATTTAAGGCAGGACCCTGTAAGTCAAGTCAGTCTTGGCATATCCACTCAGAACGGCTCGAGTCCAAGTGCCTCTGTAATTACCGACATTCCAGACAACTCCGTTGGGGGAAGTACACCGATGAGAGCGAGCCGCACCAGCTTTCCTACAGTAATTTATGACTCTTCGGATGAAGGTGCCAAGGAAGTCAGCGATTTCGGTCCAGCTGGCATGCTTGTCTCGGGCACTGTGCTTGACACTGTTGCCTCGTCGTCAACTCATCCCAACGACATTCACACAACCTACGTTGCAGAACTGCCCTCTTCCTCATCCTCCCCGTCCCTGTCATATGAACGTGAATCTGATAAGTGGAGATCCCTGTACGTATGTATCCCTCCATCTACCTCATACTCCCTCAGTTGCTCCACGTCCTTGTCCCCTTCACCGGACTCCTCTCCATCCCCCCACGGGCGTCGGATTTCAGTTCAGCCTCACTCTCCAGTATCGCGGCGACCTTTCCTCACCTCATCGTTGCCCACTTCCCCCCGGAGACTGACCTCTCGGCGATCTCTGGTGCGGTGCATTGAAGATGCACAAAAGTCCGCGACAAAGTGGCTTTACGCGGAGCGAAACAACACTCACGACACCCCACCGGATGGCGAAGAGGGCGTTCCACGAATCAGGGCAGCATTGACGCCCTCGGAGCCCCTCCTCTCTCCCCAAGACGGAAGCTATAGAGGGGACCTTGGAACCAAACCGTCAGCTGCATCCACCGGCCCTGGCCGTCCGCCCAATCCCGAAGCCCGAGATCCGCTTCGCTTAGCAAAGCCAGCAAGGACACGTCGAGTAAGGACGCGTTCACACTTAACTACTGCCTCGGCAGACATTCGCTCCGCAGGAGAGCCACAATCTGCTCGGACGATTCGCCGTCCCGTTCTTATCAGGTCCATCAAAAAGAGCACACAAACTGCACGCGTCAGGGTGGGCACTTCCGAGGACTTCCTAAATGATTTTTTCTCCTGTGGCTGTCCAGACGATGACTACACCTCGGACACGTTTGTCCTCGCGCGTGCAGCTGCCGTGTCTCGTGAGTTCAGTCGCCTTTTTTCCAGTCTCAGCGCCTACACCTGTGTCAGGAAACACTGCTCAGCAGTAGAGAACCTGCCAGCTGATGAAGTGCAGGTTAATATTGATCAGATCGCCCAACTCCGTCGCCTCACTGACGCACAGCATCAGTTTGAACGTCTCTGTAGGGAGGAGACCTCCTCCGCCTCCTCCTCCGACGCGAGGTCCACCGTCTTCATCGTCAAGTCCTCCGCCCAACCATCGAAACGAGACACAAGTCGCCACCGGCAGCAACCGCAGCTATCTGCTACCACCGTCGACGAGTCACGTGCTGCCTCCTCTACATCCACCGAGTACTACTCACCGCCTATGGAAGAGAGCATAAATCAGGAGGATCCCAGCATTGCTCACCATGGACGGTTGACGACCGGCTTGCCTAAGGGAGCTTTGAAGAAGCAGGAGGTACGGGAGCTCACCGTTGCGCCGACCACGCATGCCGGAAAGCTGGCAAGACTGAGCGGACGGTTCAAGGTCTGGCAGACCTTTTGGTGTGTTTTGGTGAATAAGAGCCTTCTCTTCTACAGGGGTGAGTCCGAGGTCGATCAGTGGCCGCGAAAGTGCATTGACCTTGCGGAGGTGCGCTCTGTTGAGGGTTTAACTTTGAGCCGAACTGGTAAATCCTCGGGGAGGGGTGTTTCACCTAGGGGGATTAAAAGGACTGCACTTAATGCCTCCTTCAATGTAACCCTACGGTCCGGACGAGTGTACACACTAAGAGGTCCCTCTATGGAGGCATCATCAAGCTGGGAGTCCAGTATCAGACGAGCATTGCGGCGTATTCAGGCCGAACACATCTTCAGGCTATACAGCGCCCAGCTGGTTATCAGTGGTTGGCTACACCGCTACCGAAGGGGTCAGTCGCACCGGGTCTGGTGCATGTTAATGGGCACCTTCCTTGTCTATTCCCTCGAACCCAGGGGCATTGCACTGACAGGGTACAGAGACCTGAGCCTCACTTATCTGCGTTGTCCTTTCAAAGAAATGACCTCATCCGCACCCACCGTGATGCACGGTGAGCCGTCAACGAGACAGTGCCATTCCGCTGACGCCAACAAACGGCGTTCCTTCGCCATGCATCAGAGCTACGAATCCTCAGACTCTGAATCGGACACCGGTATTGAGACTAATGAGGTTAATAGCAGAACTCTGGCGCTCTGGGCTCCAAATCGCGACCCTGTCTATCTGGTCTGCAACACTGACGCAGACTTCGAGCGCTGGAGGCACCACCTCAGTAGGGCCTGTTGGTTCTCAACTTGCACACAATCCTGTGCAAAAGAACCGGAAGCAAGATTTCTGCAGCTCTGGGGACAATTAGTACACCCGGCCTATGTCCAGCGTCGATGGCACAGCGCCGAACCAATCAGCACGCCTCTGTCACGCGTCGTCATTTCTGAGCCCCTCTTTGAGAGGTCAGCGGTCAGTCTGTCGGAGAAGCTTTCGAGTCTGGCGAACCTCTCCAGATGCCTGATGCCTGCAGAGCTGGAAGGCAAATCGGCCGCTGTGGCGCCAAGCAAAACCACGGCCGCACTTCGACTCCAGACTAACACAAATAAGGCAATTTTGGTGAAGTCTTTGGCTCAAATGTGCTACGATAACACAGCCCTCAAGGATGAGCTATATCTACAATTGATGAAGCAGGCAACACCTCCTAGTACTATATTGCGAACCCTGACGGATGTCAGTGCGATGCGCACAGTACCTACTAGACGTCGGATGCGCATGATGGAATTACTCTGCGGCAGTGGAGGACACCAACACAGGGAGGACTGGCCTGGCACCCGTCGTCGGGTGATATCGGCGACCAGGCCATCGGAAGAGGGGGGCGTAGGATGTAATCCTGTTGATTTACGTGCATCAGAGCTCTCAAAACAGCCCCCACCACCCAAACAGACACAGAGGACTTTGAGCATAACCACCATGTGGGAATGTATATCCATCTTCACTACCCTATTTCTTCCCTCTCCACCCGTGCTAGCCTGTCTCCAGGCCTTCCTCGCGCAGTTCACTTCGAGATTCGAGGCCAGTCCGTCATCCACCGCTGCTGCCGGTGGTGGTAATGGAGCAGGAACGTCCTCGAGCAGAACGAAGGGCATTACCTCCTCCAGCCGACGAGATCGAGGCTCCTCATCGCGCCAGCTCATCCTGGAATTGTGTCGTTTTGCCGCCTTTTGTAGTGACATGCTTCTGCGTTGTCGCATCCGAGGCGGTCGCAGGGTGACGCCCTCCTACTACGAAGTCGTGGCCATCTCCCTGCGTAACCCCTACACTCACTGTCTTCCCTTCAGCCTGCCCATCCGTCTTCATTTGCCCAGCGGCTACCAGGTCGTCAGCTTCGATGGAACCATGAAGATTAGTCAGCTGATTGCTAGCGTTGTTGAGAGTCTGGGCATTGGTGAAGCGGTTGCAAAGAGACGCTGTCTCTGCGGCATCTTCTGTCAGATTACTGGCAGTGCGCGTCCGTCCGGAGGAGCGGCAAGATTTAAACTTCTCTACCTTGAACCCCTTTGGAATATCTGTGATGTGATTTCGCTGTACGAAGAGGCTCTGAGCAAATCAAATCCTGGAGTCGCTCTCAGCCTGGAAGACATGAGTATCGATTTGGTCTTTATGGTGCAAGCGGTTGGAAAGGGTATGACAGAGTTGCCAGCACAGGGTGTTGATGCTGCTGGTGTTGATAGTTCCGCTGACAGAGTTATAGATATGGTGGCGCATCAGCTACACAGCGACATTTGTTCTGGCCGACTAAATCTCATTCTTCGTGGTGCCCACTACCTGGAGCTAACAGCACTCATGTGTCGGTGGGATCACTGTGACTATGCGGAGCTTCAGCGTCGACAGGAGACCAACCTTACCCTTCTGGTGCATCGATACTTCCCCCGCAAATGTATCAGCACTTGGAGCAGCGGAGGTGAGGACGATCAAGCCCTCATTGAGTTAAAACTCCTCCTGCTGAATCGATGGACTAAGCTGAGTCAGGAAACTACCGCGGGCGGCGAACAGCCTTCAGAGGCAGCTAGCGAAACCACTCCTTCGGGGCGAGCTCTGCCGCGAGCGTCACAGGCCTTTGTGCGAACTCTCTGGAAGCTGCATCCAGCTGCGGCCTGCGTGAGACAGTTTGCCTGTCAAATGCTCAACTGTGAGGGTGTGCCATCCACCGAGACGGTCTGGTTAGCGCCAAGTCACGAAAGGATCAGTTTCCTACGGGTCTACACATTTGATAGCACTGTGACACGCCTGATTTGCGCGGGCTACACCACCAAGGAGTCTGCCGGTCTGGTCTCTGGGCTGGCTTGTTTCAGGCAAATTCCAATGGCGAATTTAATCTCCTTTGGCATCCAGAGGACGGGGCTCTTTTTTCTGGTCTTTGCGGAGACTCATCGACAAGACAAGCAGCAGCCGCCTCTGCGCCGGTATCAAGAAAAGCCCCCACGGGCGCAACAGCCGCAGGAGGGTACCGACAGCTTCTCCTACTCGGGTCCAGAGGATGGAGGTGCCGGAGAGGTCTCGCAGGAGCGTCTCGTCTTCAGACCGAAGTCAAGTAGCGCTTCGAGAAGAGAGAGTCGGCGTCGGGATTGGTGGAGTCGGGGGGCACAAAAACGTTTGGAGAAATTGCTACTCTTCATTCCCGACCTTTGTACAGTGAACGAGTTGTGCCACGTACTCACCTTCTTCCTGGAGACTGCTTAACATCGAGACTCTCACGACCCTCCCAGTAGTGGCCCTAAAATGCCACCCAAATCTCATCCCCATCGACATCAAATGTTCTTTTAACGAGCCGACAGCAACAGCCTAATATTCTCTCCCGTTATTCTCACTGCCGTTGAGATGGCCTTCGTGGCCAGGAAAAGAAGGCGACTGTACATACAACCTTCCCCTAGATATATTCCAATTTCTCTCCGTCCACCTTCGGTGAATCCTGTATTGACTGAAAGTGGAAGTACTGCGTCCTTAGTGCCTACTGTGTTATTATTTCGTAAGCATTTACGGGGCGTTAATATGCCTTCAGTCCCTTTTGGAGTACTTTTTTCCTGACGAAATCAGCGCACAACCGAACGTTATTGACTTAGCTTTATTTGTTTATTTAAAAACAACTGCTTAGGATTTTAAGAATGGATAGTGATGATTACGAATTAACTGTATGTACTCGAATAAAACGCTGTGCGTACGGCCTCGGCCTCGGCCGAGTCTGATATCTGCGTTTTTTATCTTCGACATGCTGGCGCTGTTGTCTTTCTAGAGGGCGGGGTTAGGAATCGATCATACACACACTTCCCTCCTTTTACTGCGCGCTATCGGTCAAGTTGTCAGTGTAAACTTCGTGCCAAGGGCACATGAGTGGCAACGCACCTATCTGTTTGCCGGGCGAGTTAAACTTGTTCCACTTTTCCTAACGGAGTTGAACTAGAGCCCGTGCAGACACTGGCATGGCAACAAGCAAATAACGACGTGACTAAGCAAACTGGAATGAGCAGGTACTGTGCGAGCAACTGACCTAATTTCTGATTCGCTTCCCTTCAGGCCGGACCTTTCGGCATGGCTGGCTGGCTGCTGATGGCGAGCAAGTCAGAAACGATGGGTCCGGTTTCCATTGTCCTTCCACACTGTGTGAAATGTGTCTTTGCTTGGTTCATTTACTCTGAACGCAAAACGGGTTGTATTTATCCTGGAAGTCTCACTTGTACTTATCTCTAGTTTGTACTACGCATAGAACAGTCGAGACTAAGTCCTCCGATCAAGACAGACTGCTAAAAAGTAGGGGAATGACAACCACACAAAAGGCGGAGTCAAGTCGCCGACACTTTTGGATTCACCCAGGATGCCGCAGTACTGAGCTACTGTATTTACTTCCACCAGCCGTGGGAATTAATCCGCCTTACCTCTGTCTGGCTGGGTGGCCTGGTGTAAGAAAGGCTTTCTACCGTGCCGACTTGAGAATTTCGTAAAGAAATTTGCATTTAACAATTCGCCAATAGCCAGACACTTTGTGGTGGGGTGGGGGAGGGAATTTCTCGGATTCTTTTTCCAAAACAGTGAAAGCATTCTGTTTGAGAGACTCTGAACTTAACCTCGAGATTTTTACCCTACTAAAGATCCTGCCCTTGAAAATTGATTTTTTTGTTCTTTTCTTTACCAAAATGCTATTCTTTGCCTGGAATTTAGTCGTTTTGGTCTGCGTAAGTTAGTCGATGCAGGATGCCAACAGGCAGGTTGCTTTTTAGAAAACTAGCTTAGTGTCGTCGAAAAAGTGGACGAACGTGTTTCCACTGTTGGGTTACAGATGCGTTTTCACGTAAATTGGAAACATAACCGGTGGCGTCCTGGTCGTGGCTATAAAATGTGGACTGAACGCCTTTTACTACGCTTCAAAATTGAAGTCCTAATACCGCCGCATTCTACAGAGTATAGAAAGTGACTAGGACTAAACAGGAGTGTCCAGGGCTTAAGTGCATTTCGGCCAATCATATTGTGTCCTTGAGAAGCTGCACATCGGCTGGACCTCTGACTCGTCTGATTGGTTGCCGAACTTTCAATCCTGTCGGGAGGCGGCGCGGTATCGGCACGTGAACGGCTTGCGGGCGACATCTTAACCATTTTTAGATTGGTCGAGAAAACAGATGACGTCTCGAGGTGAATTAACGGTTATGAAAAAGGAAACGTAGTTGCGCAAGTGATGAGAGCCCAGGAGGGCGTTCGCATTTGCCGGGTTTTTCTGTATCATGCAATGGGGAGCAAGCGATAGGAGGTCTGTTGCGGAATAAACGCTTTCATCAGCCTTCCTGTTAAGCGATGACTACGACTTAATACCGATTTAGCACACATATAGTTTTCTCCCTTAGCATTCATCTTGGCATTTCTGCTGCTGTGGACAGTTTAACTAATCTCGTACCTTGTCTAAATCTCCCCTAATAATTTAAAATTTCTGGGTCTTCTGAAGGTTCGATTGTTTTGACAGTTTTGAAACCATGAAGGCGCAGTTCAGCATAACATAATTATCTGGCAGTTCGAAATTAACAGAACGCATGTCTTTAAAGTCTGAGGACTTAAGGTTGCACTGAGTAGGATAAATATGATTGCTTTGCCGCTCCAAAAAGAAACAAATGAAGATCCTCAGCTTCACAGTCTTAAAACTGGAGGTATTTCTTCCCAGGAGGGCCGGCTGTACCGAGAATCCGGGTTCTTGAACTACAGTGCATCTGAAGACCGTTAGCTCTTGAGACCTTGCTCTAGATTTCTCATACGTTCTTCGCTCTGATAGCCATTTCTCTTCAGTTCATGTTCTATTCGTCAGAGTAATAAGTTTGCCTTCATGTAATTATAATGATATTTTTAGTGTGAACACAAGTTGACGACCATCGCCAGGAAAACTGACCAGTCCCGAGCGAAACAGCGATCCATTCATTGAATCGCGGTAGCTGAGATGATGAGATAATGTTGGAGACGGATGCATATGCTTTTAACGGACGTTTTTGAACTCTCTGGAAGATTTTACCAATCTAATTTTGAAAAACCTCAGCGGCATCGATGGGATTTAGACTCATAACGAGAGGGACAAAACCTGGATGGAGCCGACGGTCCAACCACCTGGACCACGACACCCCGATTAAGAGCCTTCGGTTTACTCATACTTAAGTCCAAGATGACACCCGACCTCCTTCAATGTATGAAACGCACAGATTTCGATGCAGTACGCTGACTGTTTAAGCGACTTTTCCTAAACAGTCGAGCTAGAATCCACTAGATGACTACTACGCTCACCTTTTGTAGTAAACAGCCTACATGCGAATAAACGTAAGGTTCCCCGTTAGGACCTCGAAGCTCAGGTGGTTTGACCTTTACTTTTTGTCGGTCTTGCTCCAGATGTTGAGAATTCGGGTCTCACCGAGACCGCCCATGTTTGCAAAACTGGGCCATTTTGAAGTATGCTTGTTGCGGATCTGAATGCTTCAGTCGCTGTGATGGTTATGGTCAAAAGACTGATCATGTTAGTTTCCATGGTCAAGGACACTAAGTAACACATAGGCAATCACACTGATGGCAATTCAATTTAGCGTGAGGTTATTATTACTTCCGTTTTTACTGGTCGGGAGTTTCCAGACATCTAGACGGCACGCCCACACGGTTCTGCAAAAAAGCGACGGCAGCTGATGTTTGCTGCGATGGAGGAGTAGGCGGGCAGCCTAGTTACTAAATAGCACTTTCCCGAGATGTCGGGCATTCGCATTTCAATTTCCGCTCTGTCAGTTCGCCCTGCTTCAGAGGTTTTGCATTTCGAAGTGTAAACACCCAAGAAGATGAGGAAGAAGAAGAAGAGGAAGAAGAAGAAGAAGAAGAAGAAGAAGAAGAAGAAGGAGAATAAGAAGAAGAAAAAGAAGAAGAAGAAACAGAAGAAGAAGAAGAAGAAGAAGAAGAAGAGGAAGAAAAGAAGCGAATGTTATAAGCGTGCGATTTGCGTCTCTAGGTTCCCTGACATGGGATTATTGTCATACTCTCTTTTTTTGCCAATTTAAAGGTTGGAACACATGATAAGACAGAGGTTTGGAACTGGAAACTTCACAAATAAGGCTTCAGCCTTACTTTCAGTTCTGAGATGGATCGAATTATCCCCCTAGTTGACAGCCTTTCAAACCACAACTGTTAGCAAGTAGTAACAAATTCAAGCGCGTCAGACCTATCCCATTAAGGAGTACGTTAATATGCCGTCCGGGGATGGATCTCACTCAGCAGTTGACTGACAAGGCCCGTCAATTAAGGGGTGCTGGGATTGGACACAATGGCTGACGGAGGGCAAAAGCCCACGCCTAAGCCGCGCCACGCATGCATGGAAGTAGTTATGGTCCCGCAAGGACTCGGCACAACACAATAAACGTGTACCGTGAGCTAATCTGACCTCCGTTTTCCCAGAGCATCAACGGCACAGCCTGCTGCGAGGTCAAGACAATTAGCAAGCATTTAAGACCAAAATCACGGCCAGTGTGAAGGATTCACAGGCTAAAATGCAAAAGTTCGCACAGTTTACCCGGCTCGAAGATGCCCCATTACATTCCTTCCCATGCTTACAGGCAGAAAACGAATCGTGAAAAAGCAAACACTTGACAGGATAAAAAAACCTGCTTCCATGATTTGACGTCAAGAAAAAGTTATTTTTTTGCGAACCCCGTCCTGCGTCAGGTTCAGCATGCGAAACTGGGCGCGTAGCCCGGGCACCATGGCTTTATAGGTCAGATTACCCCCCCTCCCCTAACTTGAAGAGTGCGCGGCTACAAGCGCCATGTGGCCGTAAGCAGTTGCTCGTGACAGGTCGGTCGGAACGGCAGTCGAACATAACCTCCCCCCTCCCTAAGCACAAATGAAGGCTTCTACCTGTTGAGGAATGCCTTCAGCAGAGCTCCGTGCATTTTAGGTCTTTCGAGGCATTCCTACGGGTGGAATGGGCGCCGTGACTCGCGGAATGTATGGTCAGAAGGCATACACAGAATGCGGTCATACTCATTAAATATTGAGGGACCTTCTAAAAGGCGGTCTCACTTAGAAGAACGTAATTAAGAAGGGTTACAAAGCTAATCAGCCGACCACAAAATCCCAGGCGGATTGACGACAAAACAGGGTATGAACTTTTGAACATGCTTTTTTTTGCCCACCAACAACTGTCGAACAGGCTGAGAGTTATTTTGTGTTAAAGATATGTTTGTGGGGCAAACTGTTCGCAAATTCCTGCATCACTTTAAATCAATTCGCTGCTGCAGTAGCATTTGCGATTTTCAGATTATGCACCAGACGTACAAAGTCATGCTCTCGGGAACATGTCGTCTTTTGCCCAGCATTATTGAGTAGATGGGTGAGATGCCACTTGAGTGGTCATTTCCGCGTTTAAAAGATCGCTTGTGTTCAATTCTTTTAAAGACAAGTGTTCCTCCTGACGACAGGTAAGTTTATTTTCAAAAAACAAATTCCGAAGATAGACAGGCATAAAAACAGATGTTATCTGTATATTTCCAGAGTTAGTCAAGTGCCGAAAATCAATGGAATAAACGCGCATTTGATCGTTATTTAATTTTCAGGGAGCCTCATTTTGAGTGTTTAGAACGAATCACATTGCGTCCTTGCATAAGCAACACGCTTTACTTGGGCCTTTTAGTTATTGATTCAAGAGTCTTATCCCTGTTCTCCTTCGCTTCGCGCGAAAGAACACCAGTATAGCAAAGGATCAAATATCTTTGTCCAGTGTAAACAGTCACTGAATTATAGCATATCTGGCTGCAAACCCAATAACAAACTCCCCTAGGTGCATTGACACTGAGAAATTTGACTAAAATTTGAGTGAATTAAAACGCAGAAGAAGTATTGAAGGTAAAAGCAAGTCGATTACAAACAATAATTTGCTTGCGGAGTCTAGAATTCCGGAAACACAAAAATTAGTATCTAACGAGCAAACTGAAGTTGCAGATGCATAAGAAAGCCT